AAGCCGAATCTATCAGTCAAGTACTCGCTGCTGCCGATAAACCTATTGTGTTGCTGCACTAGCGTCGGTGGTCGTGAGTCCTCAGGCAGGATTCGGTCCATTTCCACAGGCCCAAGATTGCTCATTCCACGAACAGGCGGAGTCGGACCGAGGCCATTTGACACGTTCTTGGGTTGCTCTAGCGCAGTGCTTTTGATTGTTCCATTGGGGCCCAAGGCGCGACCTCGTCTTTGGGTACTCGCGAGCGATGACTTTGCGGATTGCGCCGTCTTGGTGGAGTCCATGGAAGGCGCACGGTCGACAGCACTCGAAGCAGTGGATTTACGGCCTCGCACAGTGTTGGACTTGCTGGGGTTTGCAGCATTGTTTCCTGCTACCATTTTCAACGCCCAGCTTGCTAGCGATGTCGACGAAGATCTACGCGCCGAGTCTGTAGCATGGTCTGAGCTGTTGAGTCGGCGCAATGCAGGTACAGCACCGGCTGGAGGAACGAAGAGATCGCTCGCGAGGGCCTTCCGGGGTGGCTTTGCTCCACTAGATGCGCGCGACCGGGTATGCCCCAGAGTCTCGGCTTCTCTGTCCACCATGCTGGCTACGGACGGTGCTCGACTGCTCTTCTTGCTCGTCCCAGCCCAAATGTACGTCTTCCAGTTCGGTTTGGTTGTGTCGCGTGGCGCATCCGACGTGACCGAGTTGATGGACATGACTTCTGCCTGAGGCGCTGAGGTGCCCGTGTCCATGCCCAGAGCATCGGGGTGCTCAGCTAACTCGTCCTCCATAGCCCTGGCGAGTCTGTCTTCCATGGGGTCATCGGGGTGCAATCCAGTGGCTGCGCTGTCGCCCCTCGTCCTCGTCTTGGTGAGGCCATTGCCGGGATCCTTGCTCTTCTCCAGCTCGCGCAACCGGTTCTCAATGTCCATGTTGGAGACCTCGCACTCCTGCAGCATCTTCCTCAGCATGCGCTCGCGCTCCTCGGCTCGTCTCCGCAGGGCCGTGATCTGCGCATCGCGCTGTGCCAGGTCGCCAGCGAGCTGCTTGACCAGCGCCACGGCGCCCGTCTGTCGCAGCGCATCCTGTATGTTGTCGTCGCTCGCAAAGTGGAGGTTCCCGGGGACCTTGGCGGACTCGGTGGGGGTATCGTCGAAGAGAGCCGTCCGGTCTTTGGCAGACGAGGCGGCTACCAGACTGCCGACTATCTGCTGCGTCGACTTGGTGACCTTCCTGACGGTAGTCGCAGGCGTCGTGTTCTTGAGATCGGGCGGGGGAATTGCCTTGACCGTGTCGGGCGATGCAACCGTCCTACTCTCAGCATTCTTAAGGCTGTCTTCGGGCGCTGGCGTAGAGCGGAACCAGCCGTTGACGCGCGACTGTGCCGGCGACGTCTCCGGGCTAGGCGACAGTGAGGGGAAGGACGTGAGGCTCTTGGTGTCGACTTCGGGCGAGGGTGCTCTACTGCGACTGCGGCTGAGCGACGTGTTGGAGCTGCGCTTCGAGGGCCGCATACGCTGTATGCTGCGGTTGCGTGGGTTGGATATGGTCGAGCTCTGGGATGCCGTGCGGACCAAGTCAACCGCTCTGGGGGGATCGATTGCCGCCATGTCTGTCGAGCGAGACTATGAGCACGCCCATTCGTACAGCGAATAGTCGGTTGGGTGACTGCACGGGAAAGGGGACGTCGGAATCGGAATGCGTGTGCGTATACGTTATGCGAGGTGGATGTCCTGTTCGCGTGCATCGGTTGCTACTATGCAATAAGTGGAGAGGCAGTGCGTCATACGATATGGCGAGGCCTAGATATGTTGCCCCACGCTTCTTTGTATGTGTGAGAAAGCAAAGACGGCCAAAAACTCCCACGGCGTCAGGGGCAGACAAAGCACTCGGCAGGCTCTCTTAATTACGAAGGCGCAAGGGGCACCGCACAGCCAAGTCACGACACTTGGTGGTGTTAACAATCATCCCACACGCGCTAGGGCTGTTTTGTGCACATGCATTGCAGCCCTACGAGCCACACGGCACCCGAAACAGCCTTCCATGGCGATCTCCCTTAATCCACAGACCCTGGCGTGCCTGGACTGCCACCCTGCTAAACACGCCCGCCTAACAGTCGACTATGTTTCGCATGTGCCATGCCCGTTACCGACAAGGACGCTGCATTGGCGGCCGTTGCGACCCTGCAGCCGCTGTCCCCTGAGCAGGACGACGCCCTGAAGAGCATCAACGCCATCTTGAACAACGGCGAGCCCTTTGTCGACGTCCACGAGCTGTTCGCACTGTACAACATCCTCTATTTCCGCAAACTGCTCCTCCCACGTGTCGAAGTCATCTGGTCGCCGCGCTTGACTCTGGTAGGTTTTCTTTGCGCGTCACAATTTGCTTTCCACGCGTCTCATCCACCACTTCTGAAGCCGCCCTCGTGTCTCCGGACCGTTGCCCCACCCGCTTCTAGACTGCCGTGTCAAACACCGGCTAACAATAGATCCAGTGCGCTGGCATCTGTGAGCTATCCCGGGATCCCAAGACCAACAAATTCACGCGCATCCGTCTGAAGCTGTCGACGCCACTGTTGCAGTATCGTCCTCGCTCAGATACCATCAACACACTGCTACATGAAGCAATCCATGCCTACTTCTTCATCACCACATCGTGGAAGCACTCGCGCGGGGATGACGGTACTGGGCATGGCATCGGCTTCCAGCTGCTTGCCGACGCCGTAAACAACCACGGCAACTATGAAGTCACCATCTACCACACCTTCCACGATGAAGTCGACAGCTACCGCACCCACGTCTGGCAGTGCGACGGACCTTGCAGAAGCCAGCCGCCGTACTTTGGCCTCGTCAAGCGAAGCATGAACCGAGCTCCTGGCAAGGGTGACACGTGGTACTCAAGACATCAGGCCGAATGTGGGGGCACTTATCACAAGATCCAGGAACCAGCGCCGACTAAGAAACAACTGGATGCTATGAGTACCAAGGAGCGGGCGGGGCGGCAGAAGAACAAGCTAGACAGTTGGATCAAGAAAGATGTTAAGGTGGAGGGCAAGACTTCTGATGTACCTATTGCCATTGGCGATGAGGATGAAACCTCGACCAAGTCTTCGAATGATGGACAGGGTGTGGCGTCTGCGGTTGTGGAAGATGTTATCCCCTCATCAACGCCGATAGCTTCAAGCGCTGGCCAGAAACGGCCGCGAGATGAGCAGCATGGTCCTGTCGTACAGAAGAAGTTACTTGTCAACTGTCCAATCTGCAATGCTAGATTAGCCGAGTGCGATATCAACGAGCATCTGGATGTAATACATCCTTAAACATGATGTAGCATTTTCACAGTACATAATCTGTCGTCTACAGAGGCGAGACAGTTAAGGACTGGAGGGTTGGAAGAAATGCACCACATGTTGACAGAAGAAGCTTACAATGCACCCCGGGCATATTGTGAGCAAATATATATATGTGTATACGCTAGAGGTGTAGTCAAAGTTGATTGTGATATTTCAAAACAACATACCGCTTCGTAAGTACTAAAGGTGTTCGAAGAAGTATGCAAGCAACATTTGTGAAGGCAGATTCTAGTATCCTGCTTTCTACTTTATGTCAAATTCCACGCAGAAGAAAAGCGGTTAAAACAAGTTGCTCAGTGAATTGCGTTACTTGGTCGTTGACAATTTAAGAATTTGGCATACAGTGGATGGATGGATGCGCTGCTTCGGCGGGGGCGGTGTTGGGCTACGTGGTTTCAATATACCGTATCAGGTAAGTTTGCAGCACCGTTGAAAGCGGCGGACTGTTACTCTTTCCACCGGAAACCTTAGCCCGACTCTCCTACACTACAACTCCCAGTCCACAACCCGTCTATCGGACTACTTCCCACTAGATTTAGCGGTAAATCTTCTGTCTGAAGAACTTCCTCTTTGTCAAAGGTAGTCCAGGGACATCTTTAGTGCTGCAGCGTCGGTGTTCGTCGCTGGCAGACTGACTGCGCTAGTGGGGTTCCGGCACCGAACTACCGCGTTGGGAAGGTTTGGGCGGGTGTGGAAAGCAGCGGGCTGTTACCCTTTTGCTTTCACGCGGATTTGCTGGCTGGCGCGTCGTTGTATACAACTTCGCGAGGCTGTTTCACACGCACACAGTGTTGACTAGCTCATAGAATATCTTATTCATGCCTATGCGTTTAGACTTGGGATTTTAATGCACGTATGTTTGATACTGTCGTGCTTGTATCTCGTGCTTAATCGCGTGTTCACGAGCTGTACTCCAGGCTGTGCGCCCGTCGATGCTATTGTTAAGACAGAGAAAAATAACTAAGAAAGAAGGCTTGTCAGCAATTCTTAATAGCTTATTAAAACACTACTACAAAATGTGACAGCTTGTTCTAAGCAGCTGTTATGATATGATATAGTACTGTAACCTTCCACCTAGGAACCTTGGAAGTTACCATTAAGACGAATGCGACAAATGGAACGCTCCTTCCTCTCCGATGTAGAGTTACACTGCGCCACTGCCTAGAAAACGACGAAACGTATACTAAAAGCAATACCAAAGACAAGAAGTTACGTCTACAAATCCTGCATGACAGCGTATCCTAGTCTTGGAGGAGAAATTGGATGAATTTGCTGCCCAATCTTGGTTGGACATTACACGAGACTCGGAACATCGTGACATTAGGATAGTGGCGAGGTGAAAGCTGGAGTCCAAGAAGACACAAATATGAAGCGACAGCTTTGCTTACTCATCACCTGTAGGGAAGCGTAGAGGTGATGGAAGCAGTTCGGTCTGTTGGTTCACTACCCCGCAACGTGCAACGCCACATCTAAGCCACAGCTCTCACAGCCATAGCTGACGTAAGGAACCTTGGAATGCTCGAACCATCGCTCCCGTATGACACTCCACTCTTCGCACGCCCAACGCACGCGATCAGGCAGCAAAGTCTGCGCACCCTCTCCTACACAACAACAGAAAAGCGTGAATATACCAGATTGAAGTGCGACACAAACCGTCATCATGCCGCCGCCGCCTCCTCGTACGTCAATGCTCCTGTCTGTACCACATGTGAGATGTACTGACACCTAATCCAGCACCACCGCCTCCCATGCCTGGGAAAGGAAGGGGCATGCCACCGGCTCCGCCGCCAATGGGAGGGATGAAAGCACCAGCGCCGGGTGCAGGCAGAGTTCGTCACATTCACAGGGACACCTGCACTACGTGGAACCCGGGCTAACGCGTCACAGGGAGCACTCTTGGGCGACATTACAAAGGGCGCACGACTGAAGAAAGTGACACAAATCAACGATCGATCCTCCCCTATAGTCGGCAAAGTCAGCGACGGACCTGCAGCAGCACCCATGGGCGCGCCCAAGATTCCTGGAGCTCCGGCCGTTCCTGGAGGGGCGAACCGAGCAAGAGCCAACAGCGACAATGGAGATGGAGGAAGTGTACCGGCTTCAGCACCACAATTAGCAGGAATATTCGCTGGAGGTATGCCGAAGCTCAGAAAAGCAGGCGGTGTCAAGACAGGCGCAGAGGACCAGGCGCCTTATCTTTCGGATCCCGAATCGAACAGAGCTTCAGCCCCTCGAGGAGCAGCACCCAAACCACCTGGACCTCCTCCTGCAGCACCTCCAGGGCCTCCGATTCCAGGTATGCGACCAGGGATGAATGCGCTGCGGGGCCAGGACTCGAGGCCCAACTCGGTAGCCTCAAGTATAAGCGGGAAGCCTAAGCCGCCTCCACCGATTGGAAAGAAGCCTCCTATGCCACCACCCTCCTCTCGAAAGCCATCAGGTCTCGCTGCACCACCTGCTCGGGCACCACCTCTCCCAGGCTCCGCTCCGCCTGCTCCTCCACCGCTACCTCCGAGCTCGACGTCTCCTCGACCGACTGGTGCACCACCTGCTCCTCCACCACTACCACCTTCGCCAGCCCCACGAGCGACCCCGCCACCGCCGCCGCCGCCCTCTGTTCCCCCGCCATCGAACGCGCAAGACGATGACGACGATGAATACGATCCATATAAATACAATTCAGCGCCTCCCATGCCTCCACCACCGCCTCCACCCTCGAACGGGCACGCGCCGTCGCTCGCAGAAACAGCCGCGCGCAACGCCTTCAGTCGCACATCGCCTGCTGCTCCTCCTCCAGCACCACCGAGCGCACCCGCACCTCCAGCACCCAGCCAACCCCCGCTCAGCCGACCGGCCTCCCAGACACCACTGCGATCGATGATGGATTCAAGTTCGTACACCTTGTCAAACGGTGGATCAAGCATCAAGAGTCCGACCAGCTCGCATGGCGGAGGAAGGGAAAAGGGCAGAATCAGGCCCATTCACGATTTGAGATGGAGATTCCAAGACGAAGGGCAATTCCCACGACCAAGAGAATTCACCGGCGGACCGAAAAGATACCGCGCTGGACGAGGCAGCAGTGTGCCATTGGATTTGAGTGCGTTTGAATGAGCAGGGTTGTGACGAAATGTTTTTTGGGGGTGATTTGTTGCATTGCTGCTGGTCAGAGCGGGTTTAGGGATAGATATTGAAGTTTAGCCTTGGCGTTAACGGGGTTTGGTGCCTTTTGCGGTGTGTTGTGGACGGTTATGGAAGATTGTTGGCGAGGTGGTGTATGCGTCGCGAGACTGTGCACCATGGGTAATATTGCATACAATAGCAGGTACCTCAGTACGTTCAAAATGTCAACAATATATCGTAAGAGAGCGACCGGTTGAGACCTTCTGTTGGAATACTGATTACTAAGATCTAAGGTTTGAATAAGAAGGAATCCATGTTTCCAAGACATCGCGAGCCCTGTGGCTAGGTATCGAACAATGAAAGTACCTTCCCCAGAAAGAGATTGAAGAAAAAGAAGGAACCATTGACTGCACGTCAAATCCCCGATGAAGTCCAAGATCAGCTGCGACCACGACACAACGTGCCCAATCGCCTAAGTGCTTTTCTTCTCCTTCTTCGTCCTGGGTACACGGCAGAGCCAGTAAAGGAAAATCGCCGCCGCCACATTAAACCCCACGTAGACCCAAAGCAGCCCGAAGTCCCTCCAGCGCGTATCCCAATCCGCATGAATACGCTGCAGAAACTGGTTCGTCGAGTCCATCTGACAAAAGTTGCACTGCTCCGTCGCCTGCGCATCTCTCAGATAGCCACCAGCCATGTCAATATACTCAGACATGTATTCGCCACACGTCTGACCCTGCGGCGGAAAGAAAGTCTGGAACTCAGAGTCTGCGCAATACGCGGGCGCTTGACCCAGCGTTGTCGACATGAAGCTCGATACGAGGTAGGTGAACGGATTAACGCGGTACATGAAGATCCAGAATCCGGGTAAATCGTTGGGACCAGCGAGGATACCGCAGAAAGCGTACAGCATAATCGTTACCAGCGTAGCGAGTGCGCCGGCGATTTCTTCGTTTGGCGAGCCAGCGATAAGCAGATGAGCGAGTGTGCTTGCGAAGATGAAGACTGCGACGACGATGAGCAAGGCGTGGAAACCGCGGATGTTGACTGTGTCCGTGGCTTCTGCGTTGCGATATAGACCGGCGGGGTAGTACCATACTAGGAAGCAGAAGATGGCCATGAAGGCGTTCCAGGCTAGTTCGATGAAGATGTTGGAGAGGACGAAGGCTTGCCAGGCGTAGGTTTTGGATTGGCGCTCGCGGGCTTCGTAGAGGGTTCGCTGGGATATCCACATTGGCATGATTTGGTAGATTAGTTGGATTACCTGGGGTGGTTGTTAGTGGGTATACGATGTTGGGTATAGAAGGTTTTACATACGACGAAGAGGAAGATGAAGACACCGAACATTTGGTTTTGAAGGCCCATCATCGTGTTTTCGCTTCCAAAGAAGGAAAAGCCGATCAACAGTGAGCAGCCAATCGTCAAGATGGCCTTCGAGTAGATGTATGAAGGGGTTCTCCAATACTGCTGGGCGCACCGCATGGCTACAGCACGAAGCTGATCCATGAAGGAGGCAGCGAAGACCTGACGGCTGGCGTTGGCTGAGTCCATGACAGCAGAGGGCCGGTTGGCAAGCTCCCTGAGATCGGCCAATTCGGTCTGTAGATGCATGTACTCTTTGCTGTTCTTCCAAACCGTAGGCCAGTCAATCTCAGTCTTTGCACCTGGCGCCGCGCCAATCGCTGCGAGCATGTACTCGGCGGGGTTGGTACCAGGAGGGCATGCTGATGCGCCGTTGCGGGTGAAGTAATCGAGAAGAGTCTCGGAGCCGCGACCGATCTCGCCGAAGTAGACGGTTCTGCCACCCTTGGCCAGTAGAAGGAGTCGGTTGAAGCGCTGGAAGAGAAGAGATGAGGGCTGATGGACGGTGCACAGGATTGCTTGGCCGTCTCGAGTGAGTTTCTCCATCAGGTCACAGATGGACCATGAAGTCTGACTGTCAAGACCGGACGTGGGTTCATCGAGAAAGAGCAATAGCTTCGGACGAGCGGCGAGCTCAACGCCGATTGTGAGGCGCTTACGTTCTGGGGAAGTTAGCGAAGCTCATAGAAGCAAAGGTACTATATCGGGGACTTACGCTCGACATTGAGACCAGATCCCGGGATTCCAACGACGGCATCGGCGTACTGTTCCATGTCCAAAAGGCGAATCACGTGGTCGACATAGGCCAGCCGCTCTTCGCGTCCGTACTCGGGTGGCTGCCGTAGCAAGGCCGAGAACTCCAGCGCCTCTCGTACGGTAGACGTGTCCAAATGAATGTCTTGTTGCATGCAGTAGCCAGTCTGTCGTTGGAAACTGTCGTCTCGTTGACGGCCATCGACAAGCATGTTGCCGCCAATGACACCCATGGTCGTTCGACTTGCGAGCACATCGAGCAATGTGGTTTTGCCTGCGCCTGACACACCCTAAAGATTTGTTAGCTTGAGTCTTAGTCTGGTCAGGCAGATGACATACCATAAGCGCCGTCAGTGTGCCCGGCCTAATGTATCCATCTACACCATCAAGAATTTTGCGGGGTTCTCCCTTGATCTGAACTTCATATGTAACCTTCTCCCAATGGAAGATGGACACCTGCTTCTGTACTCCAGATTCCGGCTCAGTGTTACGATCGATCTTTTCGCCCTCATGAGCGGTTGCCTCACCATTCTCCTCATCGAAACTCTGCTTCTTGGCCTTACTCTTCATCTTGGATCGACGGAAGACAAGCACCTCGCCCTTGGAGCGCTCGGAAGCAACCAACTCGCTCATAACGAGATGGGCGAGGAAGAGAATGACAGTGATAGCAATGATGATGCCGTAGTTGGACCATCGCTCGCTATACTGATACTGAAAGGCGGTCTCGACATATGCAGTGCCGTTGACGTAATCTAGGCCTGGTTGAGAACCTTGCACAGCACACGCTCGCTGTTCGGGGGCGACGTTCTCATATGATGGGCCAGACGGTACGAAAGACGAACAAGCGAATGTTCGTCCGTGGAACTCGTTCACCATGACGTTCTCGAAGCCATACGCAACTGGATTTATCCATCGGAACCATCCTGCCCAACCCTGCATATACTGGATTGGGATAGCAAATCCAGTATAGAGCACGAGCATGATCAGGATGAGAGAGCTCGGGGCAAGTGCTTGTGAGAGAGTCTTTGTCATTGAGGCAAACAGGCGGAAGAACATGCTCATGGAGAGGCCGGTGGTAAATCCAACGAGCAAGAAGTAGAAGTATGGACCGGGTTCTCGGCGTAGATTGGACATGAAGTAGAGCGTTGTATTCACCACGAGACTGTTGGTGATCTTGTACGGCAGATCCACGATCATTGACGAGAGTGCCTCTGCCGATGGATGATAAAGGGCATATCGGTTGTGCTTCTCGACGATAGTGCGCTTGGAGTAGAGGTTCATGATCTCGAGCATCGACCCGAAGGCATTGAGCAGAACCACCATGAACAAGACTCCACCGCGCTTGAAGAACGACGCCGTGGACTGGGGTAGGTTGTAGAAGATGCTCGCGATGATGAGCGCTTCGAAGAAGTTGACGACCAGCATCGTCAGAGGCACACTCGGATCGTTCTTCAGCCTCTGCACATCTCTCCACATGCAAAGACGAATCTGTCGCCAGTAGGAAAGGGTGTAAGGTGACTTTTGTCGTTGCTTCTTGGATTTCTCCAGGGTTCTCGATAGCGCAAAGCGTTCGTGCTGCTCACCTTTGAGGGGGTATGTGTTGTTGTACTCTTCTATCGCTTGCAATAGCCGTTGACGATCAGGGCTCTCTTTCCAGCATCGAGCAAAGTCGTCGGAGGTACGCGGTGTTTTACCTTCGAAGCCTGGTCTGATACGGCGCTCAGAGGCTGACGTCATTGAGGTAAGGAAGTCGGGCGTGGTCTGGGAGGCAGGGCATTCGAAGCCTAGGCGTTCGAAATATGCGCGTGCTTCGTTCGCTGGTCCAAAGTAGATCTGTCGGCCTTCGTAAAGTACAGTCACTTTGTCAAAAACCTGTGGGGAATTAGCATTGTCCTTTCTTCATTCGATCCTAGAAAAGCTTACCTCATACGCGGCTTGTGGAGCTTGGTAAATGGCAATGACACATGCTGCCCCAAAGACGTCGCACTGGGTACGGAGTGTCTTGCAGAACTCCACCGCATTGGCGGAATCAAGGCCACGAGTCGAGTTGTCCCATAGTTGAAGCGGTGCAAAACTGAGGGATGCTTCAGCGATCGTCACTCTCTTGCGCTCGCCGCCGCTAACTCCTCGTACGAAGTCGTTGCCAACGCGTGTGTTGGCCGTGTGCGAGATGCCGTACATGGCCATTATTACCTGTCAAGAGTTAGTAGTGGTTCTGCTTAAGCTCGAAATAGAGTGCCTACATCTCGGAGATGCTCGGCATAGCGTCGACGACTGATGCCACCAGGAATTGTGCGAGGTGCTCGAGCCAGAGCCGCGAAGTAAAGCGTGTCGCCAACGCTCAGCTGAGGGAAATGAGCATCTACCTCCGCAGTGTAGATAGCTTCCCCGCGGAACACAGTGTTCATGTCCTTCGCTGGTACTCCTTGGTAGTTGAGATACGATTCAGGGCTGACTTGGAAGCCATGAGTCTCGCCTGCGATAGTCTTCAAGAGCGTAGAACACCCTGATCTACTGGTCGTTAGTCCATGTTGCTGAATACGACGACAGTCAAACATACCCAGGTGGTCCCAAGACGCATAGTTGCTCTCCAGGAAGGAGCAACCCGTCCAGGTCTCGCAAGATCTCGATCTTCTGCGTACCTCTGCCAAATAGCGAAGGAAGTTTCAATAGGGTATTACCCACTGTCGACTGGAAATCGGTTGGTGAGCCTTTGCCCCAGACGTTCAAGCCTCTGAAAGCGACGCCTGCTACACGAGGAATTGTTTCCTCGCTACTATATCGCAGGTTATAGAACGAGCGGGCCCAATCCTTGGCACGGAACTGGTCGCTTCTGGGGTCAAGTCCTCCATGTGCATCTTCGGCGAAGGGTGAACCAAAGTGTTGTTGTTCAGACTGTGTTGTAAACTTGCGCACGAGCTCGTGGATGTCTCGATCACGCTGTTCTTCCTGTCGAACTTTGGCCTCATCGTCAACTCCTGTGAGACTAGAGCTAGCGTCTGACTTCAGATCTACGCGGTCAACGCGTGCTTCCTCGTTCGTCGCTTGCGCTTCTGTGAAGCCTAGTGCGGCTGACATGCTGGTCAGAGAGGTAGGGTCCAACTTCGGGGAAACTGCGACCAGGTGAATGCGTCAAACCAGATATCCCTGGATTCTAGTGGTCACGAACAACATTAGTCAATGTTCCCAGCTGGGGTGTATGCAGGAGGATACGTACGGTTGGGAGCCCGTGAACAGATCGATTAGCGCTCGCTAAGTGTGAGCAGGGGGAGATCTGAGATGGCGATGTTTGATAGAGCCTGTAGCCCTGGTAGATCTACCTTATATCATACGATGCTTTTTTGCGATCGATGCCTTTACGGCTGTCAATGATGTAAATTCATGTCTCGAAAGTCCCGGAAGTCCATGCCCAGGTGCCATGATTGCAGACAGTTGTCTTCGGCAATCTTGGCGCGAATGAGTCGAAGTGAGTGTTTGCGTCTAGGGTTGCTGTTGGCCCTGAAACGTGCAGGGTCCGGACATTCGGCAAAGGCCGAAAGTCCGTGGGAAACCTCGGGCTCCGTGCAGCACCAAGCCTCCATCTCCACCCTCTACGAAGTATCCCATTGTCTATTTCCTATGCGCGAGACCCCGGCACTCCGCCCGCCGAAAATTCCGCTGTCGCGCGCAACCCTTTTTCCGGAAATTCGGTGTGCTTTTAGCGAACGCTTTTAAGATGACGATGAAGCTTGCCGTAGGTACCTGCCCTAAACCTACGTCCGCGGGAACAAACCATCTGCTAAGCTGCCATTGAAGTGTCTTCGTTGTAAACGAAAGAAGATCAAATGCGACAAAGCAGAGCCGATTTGCCATCAATGTATTGCCGCCAAGGAAGAATGCCATTATGTAGAGCGCAGACAACGCCCGCGCCATGCCCACCAGAAGGCTGTCGTACAGCATCTCAGCCAGCGACTAGAACAACTAGAGAAGCAAATTAGCGATGCTGGTGATGATCGTTCGTCATCTGTATCCGAAGTCGTGGCCAGACGCGATAGTATCCGAAAAAGCACTCCGGTGCCATCACCCGAAGCATCGCTGACTGTGGCTGATGGCCAGGATTCATGGGTAATAACAGCCTCAACCGAAGGCGCTCGTGTTTGCTGGGTTTTGTCTTGATATTCCGACCTCCTCGAAGGCGTTCATAGCCTTTCATATCGTCAACGTTCTGTCAGAACATGCCATGCGGATTTACGATGTCTTATCTTTTACTATGTTACGAAGCACATGAGGTACATATAGTGAGAAAGGGTCGGGTCGGCGATACAGCTCCAAAGACGTATCTCTTCATACCAGAAGTCATTGGGACACGACTCAGCACACACGAGCGCCTCCGAAAACCTTCTCAACTATCATCACAGCTAATCATGATAGATCTACCGACTTGCGACGGATACAAGGCGCAGCTTCCAACATAAGGCCACCCCAGTCTCGACACCAACGCCAAGCATCGACAACGCAATGCTGTCCCTCAACGAAGCGCTCGAAGACCTTGGAAAGCTGAGGGTGCGCACTGAGACGCACAGTGTGGATCTCAACTTATCCTCCGCAGAAGCGCGGACATGTATCGACGGCTTTATCTCCGTCATGAGCTCAATGCTTTCACCAGATGCGTTTGCTCATTCCGTGATCGATACTGACCTTCTTTACGCGCTTCCCGATATCATCAAGTCTCCTTACGTCAACATCGATCCCGTGGTCCGCGTTATGTAGTAAGTAAACGATGGCTATCGAGTTTGTGTGCCACATGCTAACCTTAGGTGACTTCAAGCTACAATGCTCTGTTCTACGGACTGCAGCTGACTGACGGTCCGGGAGGAGATCTTACGACGAAGGCATACATGAAGATGCTGGAGAGCGTACCTGCTTGGCTTGAATCTCCAGGTGATACGAATATGGACGTACATATTGCAGCCCTCTCAGCATGGACGGCGATGACTGCTCACGATTACCAACTGGCATGGAAATTCCACTGCAAGTCGTGCCAACACATCAAGTCGATCGGCATAGATCGCCTAGACATGGTTCCAGCAAAGTCCTTCGAAGAAGAAACCGAGAGAGATGTTGGTCGCTACACCTACTGGTATGTTATATCGATCGACACATTCTTTCGGTTATTCTATGGGAAACCCACCGTTCTACGGTGGTCACCAAACAAAGTCCGCCCACCCCTAATCTTCCGTCCGGACAACATGCATCCCTCGGCGCTCCATACCACCATCAGTGTCGTCTGGGTGCGCTATACTCTGTTGACCGTACAGGCGATCGGTTATATTGATGAACACCCGCCACACGATCGCAACAGCTGTGTCCAGAAAGCCGACGAAGCTTGTTCGCAAATGGAAGACCTCATCAGCGAATGGAGATTAGAGGAGGTGATGAACGCCAAAGACACTACAGATGATGTTCGCTGTCTTCTGGCAGATCACATCAGTAGGTGAAGTGCGGAACTGAGCCAACATTGAGCTAACCTCAAATCCAGTGAACATATATGCGACTATCATCGGTATTCAGAGGCTGGTACAACAGCACCGAACCAGACCCGGACCTAAGGACATCACCCTCAGAGCCGCACGAAGAGTTTTGAGCATTATCCTTGACTTCTATGCGGACATCAACCTCAATGCCAAGTTCAAGAGTATCACGAATCAGTAAGCCGCCACTGTCTTTACTTCGCACCAAAACATCCGCTGACTTGGCCCAGTTTCATAACCCTCTACCCTTTCTGCGTCGTGTTCACACTCTACGAACACATTGTGGCATGCACCATTCCAGATGATTGCGAAAGCGACATAACAGCTCTTGAGACAATTGGCGTCGCCATGTCACAAAGCTGCACAGAGCGCCAGGACTTGATACCGTTTGCCAAGACTATCAACGCACTCAACAGGGTCTCGCGGAGTCTACAAGACGAGAGACGCAGAGGCCCAGCCACTGTAGACTCCAGCGATAGCGTTGCTCAAGGGATGAACATGCCGCCGACAAGTTTCGATACGATTCAGAACTTGATGGCCAGCGAACTCCCAGACATTGACATGTCGGCCTTTTCATCGATGCCGGACTATACCGCGAACATGGACGGCGACTTCCAATCTCTCGGCTTCTTGAGGGGGCTAGAAAATGACTTTGTCACGCGGAATTGGCAGACTGACTGGTGGGATCTTGGTGGTGGTGGAGATGGCGACATAAGCCAGATGCCAGCGACAGATCCCACAGGCTTTCCCTACACTCCACATACATGAGGAGGGCGAACTGTCAACGAAGCTAGGTCTTCGAGGAGCGACGGAACCTTTTGGCGACGTTTGGGTGTATATATTACTATTCGCAAATCTGTATCATATCTGTTGTAGGGTAGAGATGTACGGTTTACTTACGCAATGAGTGTTTTGAAGCCACTGAGACATACCAGGAACTTCCGGGTACATGTAGACGCAGCGCAGAATACTGAACATATCAGCTTAGCTGTACTCCATCCAATGTTAGCACTGCGGCTATCCCGTACTAGCGTTTTTTGCCCGCTCCACTATCCCTTTGCACCAGACAACATTTGGTACCTCTACCGGTCAGCTTATTCGAAGGCACATTGACCGCATACAAATTTCCTCCTGTCAGAGTTGAGCGTATCTTCAAAACGCTAGAATTACGCCCCTAAATTACGTACTCTGTCGACTTCCTCCTCACATAGAGCCCCCCAAGCGTCTCTGAACCAGCATTCTTCCTCAATATATCGCATCCACTCCTCTCCCATAATAATTCAGCCTCCGTATCCCTCTCCCACAAGAACCCGGCACAACGAGTCCTACGCCGCCATCGACCCATCGAATCCTAATCTCAGCCAAGCAGAGAAAACCGTCATCATGACCGGAGCCGGTAGCGGTATTGGTCGCGCGACCGCTCTCGCCTTTGCCAAAGCACATGCAGCGAGAGTGATCCTAACCGGACGTACTGAGTCGACCCTTCAAGAAACCGCGAAGCTACTCGCAGACAGCAAGTCAGACTGCATGGTCTTCCCCGTTTCAGCAACCGACGAGACTGCGATGCAGAATGTTGCTGAACAGGTCGGCGCATGGGATGTCCTCGTTCTTGCCGCAGCGCACATCTCTTCGCCGTCCTCGATCGTCCAGAGTTCGCTGCAAGACTGGTGGGCAGACTATGAAACGAATGTGAAGGCGATAGTCATCGCTTCACAGGCTTTCATTCCTGTGGAGGAAATCGAGCTGGAAACAATAGATTCAGGTGATCGGGATTGTAATCACTACTCTTGTAAGATCAGACGAGAGCAGCGCAATATATACAGGCGAGCGCGTAAAACACTAGTACAAAAGAGAGAAAGCACGTGATTGACCCAACAGGTGCTCGAACACCTGTTGCGACAATTCCGAATGCGAAGTCTGATGCAGCGGCTTTGTCGCCAGCGTATACACTGGAATATCGGCCTACCTCATGTCGAAGGTCGCGCAGACAAAGATCGTCGAGTTCCTTGCTGCGGAGAACCCAGATCAGTTCGCGTGTGAATCCTGGAATAGCGGATACAGGTATCTTCCGAGGCAGTGATGCTGATCCACCGCGATTGCCGATGGACTTTGATAAGTGTGTATCAGAAAGGGCGAGGACAAATGCTAACTACTCCTCAGCGGAGCTCAGCGCAAACTTCCTAGTTTGACTGTCGTAACCAAAGCTGAGTGTGCAGCGATAGTTACGTGATATTTGATATTCTCTCCGACTTCATTCATGTCAACACAAGAGTGTGGGTTGATAGATGGTACCTAGGGACTGGGTCCCCAAAACAAGTAGATGCATGCCCACGGTTGAGACATGCGGGTTCAAGAAAACGGAATCGAGCCACAAGGACTAACGAAACCGTGCAACCGTCTATAGGGGGAATTTACTGCACAAGGCAAGTAGACGCGCCCAAAGGGATTGTGGTCCCAGGTGCTACAGTGAAGAGCACAGCACTGGGGCTCCTTTCGGAGCATGAAGAAAACGGAGTCGAGCCACAAGAACTAACGAAGCCGTGCACCCGGCTAGGAGGGAATCTACCTCACAAGGCGACCTTAGAAGTAGACGCACCCAAAGTGGATGTCCCAGACGTGCTACAGCGTAGAGCACAGTCCGAGGCGCTACAGTTAAGAGCGACGGGGTGTTTACAAGTAAACGTGACCAACGAGCAAAGCGCCAACTTCCACAACATCTGGATTTGTGAAAGAGACGAAAAGTTCGCGGTAGGGAGTAAAGAAGCGACGGCCAGAAAGTTGTATATATCTAGCCCACGCTAGCAAATGCTAGCGAGCGCACGGACCAGGAAGCAAACATCCAGCGATGAGGTGAGAAGCCCGAAAGAGCCCTTGACAATACTAAAACGTCTCTTGCTGCATCCAATCTCCTCAACGAGTGTATAACGCCCTGTGGCTGTGGGGTATGATGCAGAAAATTTTGATTTGGTTCGATGGGGGGCAGTTCATGCGGTGCCGTCACGTGCGTGCACCTGGATTCATGCCCAGGTGTCAACCATCTTCACGTATAACCAAAACCCAAAACCGGCCTCTGAGATCACCCACGAGCTACTTCCCGCCTCACCTCTCGCGTAAACCTACCAACACACCCATCCAACCATCTCCCTATCCCCTAGGCCTCCAAATCACCTGACCACCACAAGCCAGCCGCCCCGCCAAGTCCCTCCAGTGCCACACCAAGCCCCCAAGTTCCAACGGCGCAACCACCATAACCAACAAGTGCCAAACTCCGATCTCGATCTGAACACGCGTTTCGCGCCAACAACCCCAACAAAACAACGACTTTTCACTGTTTGACTCAGCCCCAACGGCCGTTGGTGCTCAAGCCACAGCTGCCACGAGTCAAACTACAACTCCATTTATATGACATCATCGACCGCATCGACCGGAAGGAGCGATCCGCGGAAGGTGCTTCCTCCGATGCCGAAGCATGGGAAGGCACACACGTGGACCAGCTAACGGCTAGCCTTAGCAGGGAAGGAGCGAACATCAATCACAGGGTACGCAACCAGGTTTGCGAAAGTCTAACGAGTCCAAAGTTTGAAGACACGAGGTAGGGAAATTTGACAAGTTGATCTTGAGCGTCATGAGCGATAGCCATTCGTGATTAGTTATCTGCGTGTTCGTATACGAGATCTACGGGATTCGCGTCGTTCTGTATGTGACTACAATCTCCGTCTCGTAATAGAGACCATCCTCATTTCAATGTGGATAGTTATGCATAGTGGAAAACACCCAAGTCCTTAACGCCGTTATGCGGTATCCAACAGTTTCTCCCGGAGCATTGATGCAACTCTTCGGTGTTGGATCTCCCGCAGTTCATTATTCATCTTCTACGTATATCACCGCGCCTCCGCGGGGACCTCAGCCGCTGGCTTTGGCATAGGCTTGAGCTCCGAGCCTGCCCCGCTCTCAGCCCGCTTCCGGCCTGTGAGGGAGAAGTGATGGCTCGAGCTGGGTCGCTCTTCTGTCTTGTCGGCGTTGTTGTTGTCGCCGAAGCGCGAGAAGATACTGCGCTTCTTTGGTTGCGGCTTCGGCTCGTCGTTCAGGCCCACCTCCTCGAACCCCTCCTCGGGCACTTGCTCATGGCTTTCGCTGTGGCGGGGTTGTTGCATCGAGGAGCGCGGTGTGGCACGCGAACGGCGGACATCGAGCGAACGTCTGGTATCTACGGAGCGGCGCGCATCGAGCGACTGGCGGGGGTACGTCTCGTGAACATTGTCTTGTATTGGAGAGCGCGCGGAAATGTCCTATATCCATTAGCGGGGTCTTGCCACTGGTCGCATAACATACAAATGACCGCCTGTACGAGTCGAAGCTCTCGCGCGAGATGCTGAAAGGCTCGTTCTCGGCGAGCAGACTGCGGTGATTTGAAGATGTGGTAGAGACGTTGGACTTGGAGTGCCAGAAGGTGGGCTTCTCTTGCTGAGGGCTCGGCTGTCGCAACGTCAATCAATGTCTCACGCGCCGACATGCGCGCGTGTCGCTGCCCCTCCTGCATCCGCAATCACATGGGCTTGACATTGCTTACCGGTAGGTACACGCCGCTGTCGTTTATTTCTATCACAGTGTAAGCGCCCATTCAGCCGAAGCACTGATGCCGCCCCAGGAACATGCTCATGTTTGAGCCCCAGGCGCATTCGCAGGAAATCTCACCACTCAATTTGTACTCGACAGGGTCCTTGACCTGCACGGGTGCGGCGCCCGAGACAGCTGTGCTCTTGAAACCGTTCTCCGGCGCGCTCCGCTGGGCCTCATCAACGGCCTCAGGCACACCCGCGCGACGAAAGGGATTGCGAATAGGCATGGTGGTAGGGCGCTAGGGATCAAACAAGGCGGTACGAGAACAGAGTGGGGAGTTTCAGTAGGCTGATGTAGATTGAAAAGGCGAAGAGGAATGGTAGGTCGCGGCTGAGATCATGACTTCTGCGAGGCGCCAATCGGGCAGGAACCAATTGCCCTAATGTGGCATGGCCTCGGCACCTAACAAGATCCGATTCAATGTCCTTGTGTGAGAGGATGGCGCAAAACCAAAGACGTCATGTCGCAGACGCGCAGACTTGATTGACTGTTGTCTGTAGAGATTTCATCAGCCGTCGAACCAGGAACGCTCTGGGGTGCAGATCAGATCCCTGCACGACGGTAAGCCAGGTACCAGAGAACACACTCAGCTCACCACAGCCGCGCCTCAAAACAGCTTGTTTGTACCTCACACAGGCTGACCTGCGTTATCGCGACTAGAGAACTGCTCACCGGCGGTATCCTTACCTTTGCGCTGGCACGAACGTTCGCTACGGCACCTTGCGCTAGTTGGGTGCGGTGCTGTGATGAGGCAACTCATCTAAATCAGGCTGCGACGGGAAGATGCACCTCATGTCCGAAACATTGGAAGATCTCCTTCACCGAGTTGGTGCTGCGATGAAACGCGGTTCGCGGTTAAATTTGGTTTCTGTGCCTCAGCCATCAGCGTCGTCCCCACGATTCGAAGTTCGCACGGCCGAGACGCAGATGCAGCAACTCCACTGCTGTCGGGCCAGCCCCTCTCACTCGATCTAAGACCAGGATACCTCTGTGCGGAACATGAGGCTGTGCCCATGTAAGCAAGGTCGGCAACGTTCGAGATCCCAGCGGAGTTACATGAGATATTTCGAGTGTAGACACTGCAGGCGATCCATGTGATGGAATGGTAGCTGCGAACTCTCGAGACGGACCTACCGCGGTAAGTAGGGTCTGGTCTGCTTTGAGTCTCCCCGACAACACTTTGTAGTGTTTTGAGATGCCGTTTGCCCTGGCTACGGATACTACGGATACTTGCTAACGGTAGCCGCATGGGAAGAAGGAATTCGCCGTACATGAACCACTTCGAGATGCCGTATCCGCGACACTGGGTCGGAAGATCAGCGTGTGGTAGTCAGGTTAACTCAGCCTTGGTGGAGTGTAGGAATGTAGTCGCATTTATGCCTTTTGTTCAACAATATCGCGCTAGATCCAGGCAAATATTAGTAGCTGCATGTTGGTCAGTGGCCTGTAGTCTGAGCAGAGCTTTCAGCGCAAGGCTGCGTCGAGGCTGGACTTCTGCAAAGCAAACACGCATGCAGGAAACATCCCCACCGACGCTTGTCGAAGTGCATGGAGCAGATGCCAATCATGACCTGCAGCTTCCCCTCACCCTGATCACCACTGCGGACTAGTTGCAGCACAAAGCTTCTTCACTTGTGTTATTGTGGTGAAGAGCTGCTAATCTTATACGAGCGCGATTATAATGCCCAGAAACTGGAAAGCGCCGGCGCATTATTTGAAGCTTTCGGATCATGAGATGGCATGGGTACGAAGGATTCGCAGATACGAGGACTAGGGTTGAGTCAATAATTTCGCGGCTTACTTTGCAGGACTAAATCGCCTTGTGCATCCTTTGCCTTGGCTGAGGCACCAAGACGGAATCACCATCATCGTCTCGTCATGATCCAATTTTCTAGAACGAGAAGTGGCTTCTGATTACTTGTGGCTGAACGCCGCGAGAAAAAATTGGGCCAACCGTGGGGCCAACATTGAGTACGGCCAACACGTTCATCATGGCAAGGGCTTTCGTTGGGTAATTGTGTAGAGACGATGCTTTTTGAAGGCACTGAAAAGAAGAGTTGGTATGACTAATGATCGTGTGTGATCAGTGCGCACTGGCGAGTGGTAGAAGATTCCGCGCTCGCCTAGACAATCGATACAGTCCCGGCATGGTGGCGAGCGACGAGATGACCCCAAAGTGTGCGCTGGAGAAAAGAATTTGGGACCGGCCGGGAGCGGTGTGCT